TACCTCTGTATTGACGCTCCTCCAAATTCCATGCGTTTCCCCTGGATGCCCCCTTCATTTCCTTTGCATTTCCCGTCATGTCCTATCATTTCCTCGTCATGGCCCACTCAGTTCCTTTCAATGTGCCGTTCATTGTCCTGTCCTTTTCCCTTGATGATTTCTGCTTCATTTCCCACTCATGTCCCCTTCATTTCCAGTCATTTCCCTACATCTCCCTTCGTTTCAGTTCATTTCCCCTGCGCTGTCTTTCATGTCCCTGCGTTTCCCCTACATTCCCCCTGCATTTCTTGTTCCTTTCCCCTTCATTTCCAATTCATGTCCGCTGCATTTCCAATCATTTCCCTACATCTCCCTTCATGTCTTGTTCCTTTCCCCTTCATTTCGCTTTCATTTCCCCCTCGTGTCCCTTTTATTTCCCATTGATTTCCTGTCATTTCCGCTTCCTCTGCATGTCCTTGCATTTCTCTGCATGTCACCGTCCTTTCCCCCTGCATTTCCCGCACATTTCCCCTTCATGTCCCTTCATTTCCGGGCGCTTCGCCCTAAATTTCCTGGTCACTTCCCTTCAATCCCTTCATGTCCTTGTCATGCCCCCTTTCACTTCCCTGCACAGCTCTGCATTTCCGCACATGTCCCCTTCATTTCCCCTTCGTTTGCTCCGTTTCCTCTTCGTTTCTCTTCGTTTCCCCTTCATTTCCTACGTATTTGACGTCGGGCGGGGGGGCGGGGTTAGGGGGGGGTTATCCTCTATCCTCTCTTAAGTATCCGACACGCCTCCACAAGCCCTGAGGTTTGCAGGTTACGACACCTTGTTTTCCCCATGAACAATGCACGCTCTTACAAATTTCGCTTGGCATATAGTAATCGATATAGAAAGCTGCATCCTTCTTGTTTCTTGCCGAGGCCGCTTGTTCTTATCCCTTGGGACTTTTGCCAGCAAGGCGAACCAACAAAGCCCAGCGTGGGCTTGTTGTGGAGTGTTTTGGTTTCCCACTAGGTGCAGGTTCAGGAGCTTGACTTCACAACACCCGTGCTCATATCACTTCACTTGACGTCACACCACAGCACTTTGCTTCACTTCACGAAAATTGCATTCGCGCATCCCGTGGTAATCCCACCGAACCACGCACAGACACTGGACTGCCCTCTTTCCCCGTCATGTCCCTTTCAGTTCCCCTTCGGTTACTTTTCATGTCCCCTTGCTGTCCTGTCATGTCGACTTCCCCCTCCTTTCCCTGCACTTCCTTGCATTTCCTCTTCGCTCCAGAAAACCCGAACCAGCAAAGAGCCGGCAGGGGGATTCGAGCCTGGGATCCCTGTTTTGGGACACCGGCTCCCCGAAGACTATGTTTAGTGGAACGTCATCAAATTACCGCGCGGTACGTGCTTGACCCCCCGCCAAACCCTACGTCTTTGACGTTGGACGGGTTGGGGGGGGGGTTATCCTCTATCCTTTCTTAAGCATCCGACACGCCTCCACAATGTCGGCGGACAACCGGCTCCTCTTAGAATCGAAAGGGTATTTTTGTAAAGCCGATGGGATTGGAGCTCACTGTTGAGATTGCAGGTCCACCCGGGCCGCCGCCCGGGCCACCGCCCTTCTTCCCCGGAACCATGCCAGGCGCGTGAGCTTTCGAGCTCGGATTACACGTTTTGTTTGACGGGTCACCGTTGTGAGGTGGGCTTTCCACAAGGGACATCGCCCCTTTGAGTGGATCTTTGCATTTAGAGAGGCACCCAGAGAAAAAAACACTATCAAAAACCAAGGCCCACCCACGATCAACACGCTCCGAAATATTGCCCGTTGCTCATATCTCGACTGCTTGACACATTACACTCCTGCAGGTTTAGCAAGGAACCGCAAGCACTACCAGTTTTGATAGGAATGGGGCCCCCTTGCTGGGTTTCACCTTAATCTGAAGGGAAGTACATGCCGAATCCAATATACGCACCTCAACCCATTCTCGGTGCATGGATGCTAGTTTGGGTCGAATGCATTTGTCAGACGCAATACACCTTGCAGTGGTGACTGGTGGAGTCCTGCATCATCCTGTTGTGTTTGCAATGGCCTTGACAGCGCACGGGCCAATCTTCCGGCAATTTTTGATATTATACATTTAGACTTGTTTCTTATTTGGTTCCATGTTGATGGCCCTGGGATTTGCTCGTTTCCGCCGAGAAATTCAGACTTTGGATAAATCAGAATTCCGTGAAGGTCAACAGTTATGGTAAACAGAAGCTGGTTTCCTTGCGCGATGAGTCATGGAACATGTCATAATGACCAGGGTGAGGAACCGGACAACATCCCAACTTGGGTCGTGTGTGTGTGTGCTGTGTGTCTGTGTGTCTGTGTGTGTCTGTGTGTGTCTGTGTGTGTGTGTGTCTGTGTGTGTGTGTCTGTGTGTCTCTGTGTGTGTCTGTGTGTGTCTGTGTGTGTCTGTGTGTCTCTGTGTGTCTCTGTGTGTGTCTCTGTGTGTCTCTGTGTGCCCCTGTGTGTCTCTGTGTGTCTCTGTGTGTCTCTGTGTGTCTCTGTGTGTCTCTGTGTGTCTCTGTGTGTCTCTGTGTGTCTCTGTGTGTCTCTGTGTGTCTCTGTGTGTCTCTGTGTGTCTCTGTGTGTCTCTGTGTGTCTCTGTGTGTCTCTGTGTGTCTCTGTGTGTCTCTGTGTGTCTCTGTGTGTCTCTGTGTGTCTCTGTGTGTCTCTGTGTGTCTCTGTGTGTCTCTGTGTGTCTCTGTGTGTCTCTGTGTGTCTCTGTGTGTCTCTGTGTGTCTCTGTGTGTCTGTGTGTGTCTGTGTGTGTCTGTGTGTGTCTGTGTGTGTCTGTGTGTGTCCCCTGTGTGTGTGTGTGTGTGTCTGTGTGTGTGTCTCTGTGTCTGTGTGTGTGTGTGTCTGTGTGTGTGTGTGTGTGTCTGTGTGTGTGTGTGTCTGTTTGTGTGTCTGTGTGTGTGTGTGTCTGTGTGTGTGTGTGTGTCTTTGTCTGTGTCTGTGTCTGTGTCTGTGTCTGTGTCTGTGTCTGTGTGTGTGTTTGTGTGTTTGTGTTTTTGTCTATGCTCAGCGCAGACGCGACAAGTTTTCTGCTATGGGGTGAGACTGCTGCTTAAAGAAACCGCGGAACGTAGGACGAGCAAATGCGACCCACGGGTCCGGGATTCCAAATTTGATTTTTTTATACAGCTGCTTTAGCAAATACTCAAATCAAATCGAGACGTCAGGGTGCGTGGTCAGCCAGATTGTGCGCTAGGCATGCCGCCGCGAGCTGGCCCAGAGGTTTTTCGCCGGTCAGTTGGTGACACCCTTGCAACTGCCACAGCCAGGATTCCAATTGTTTGACCTATCAGATGGACTTGAGCCCGTAAGGTTCCCCTTTTGGGAACGGCTAGGTTTAAGTCACCGGGGGCAATCAACAAATGGCACCTGGCCAGAAGTCTCGCTACCCCAACTCCCGGATTGTGCACACCAGCGTTCATGCTGGGCCTTGCCTCGCACTGTTTTGTGGAACGAGCTGCCACAAGCAAGACACACGGAGATGCGGGCAATTTGGCCGGATGGCACCTAGGAGAGGGTCCAAAGCGCTGGAGAACCCATTGATTCTTTTCAATCACGACCACAGGGCAGGCGGTTGCGAACCCTTTGGCAGGCTGTCGTTTTGGTTTTGTGTTTGAAACGAGTTATCCCCGTCTCAGATGCATTCCAAAAAAGAAAGAAAGCAGGTTGCCCACTGATTGGTGATGTTTTTGGTTTGTATAGGTTGGTTTGGAGCTCCTTCTATCAGCTTTAGGTGCCCAGAGCTCGAACCAACCAATCCACTTCGGCATGCAGCGAGATGTCAGCTGCCATGTTGCAAGCTGAAGAGCCTTCCAGTTGCCAAGGCCAATGCACCCGGGCGCCACGATGCCAGGGATGCCTCCGAGCTCGCCTCAGGTCATCTCAGGTCGCCGCAAACGCGGTCCTTCGCAAAGCTTGCCATTTCCATGAGGCTCCTAAAAGGATACATTTAAAGCACTCCCTTGTCCACCAGATCAAAAGAAGACTACTTGTTGTTTTGCGAGGGGGGCTGCTAATGCTCCTTCTCCACCACTCTTGCCTCACCCTGGCAAAAGGATGAACAAGAAATAGATAAGTAAATAAGTAAAGAAAAAAGAAGACGAGAGAGAGAGAGAGAGAGAGAGAGAGAGAGAGAGAGACAGAGAGAGAACGAGAGGAGGGCAAGAAGGGGCGAGGGCGAGCGAGAGAGAGAGAGAGCGAGCGAGCGATTTTCTTCTAGCCTTCCAAGGTGTCATAGCCAAAGTTGAGATAGCCAAGACACACTTTTCCAATTTGCCGCTCAAAGGAGTTGACCCCTCTACAATGCGTTCAGGGTTGAATCCTGGCTTTCCACATGTAGTTGAGACCTTGAAGAGCCGCTCGAGAGGCTGCTTAGCGGCGCCTGGAACAGACATACGCACAATGATGGAGCTGATGGATCTTAAGTTTTTAGGTATGTACATTTAAGATTTGATAGCACACACGCACACACATACACACACTGTCACTGCAGTCAAAGTTGCTGCAACAAACTTTCGTGTTGGCTGACTCAGTGTTGTCTGACCGCGGCATATCAGAATGCCCAAGCTGCGCGCTGTGGCACGCAACATAAGAGCGACGTAAAGCACATAGGTCCACCAACTAGACTAGGCCTTTGACTTGCTGTTCACGTGACAACTGAGGCCCGGTATGATGCATCTTCCTGGAATGTGGCCCTCCCGAGTTTGCAGCTGCCTGCACAAGCGCGTACATGTGAATCCTTTGCAGGAAATTCCGAACATGTATCAGGCATCGAGTGCCAGTGTTGGAAGCATAGTGTTTGTTTTGCAGCATTTGCTATTCGCTGAAAGGATCTTCGAATCACAGGTCTCAGCTTCCGAGATGCACCGTGTCTGACCGCAGCGTTTCAAGCCATGAAGCGCTGAGGGAGAGTGGAATCTGACACGCATCTCGCATCTGGCCGTTGGCTTGCCCTGGCGATGGCTGCCCCTTAGCGAGCATCAGTGATGCTGATTTGGAAGCGGGTTCAGGGCACTGTATTCGCGCGACATGTCTGCGTTTGGGTGTGTGCAGGGTGAACGCATACTCAGAGTCATACTACAATTTGACGAGTGTCTTCACATCAGTCTATGCGATGTATATGGTTGTAGATGCTTCACGCTGCCCGCCTCGGGCACGGGCTATTTAATTTGATTTAGAAGTGTCCTTTGATCTTTGTTCTTGCTCCAGGGCCATGCGAGGGGAAGCTGGGCACTGGCAAGAAACGACGTTCATGCCTGGCCACGCATGAAGGTATTAGCTGCGTGAACACTGAAGGACAGCCACAGTAGTCCAAGGGTAGGGGACTGGGGCTACATTATGCGTAGCCAGCCGCCTGCCACCTGAGGGCCAGATGTGGGGGGAGGTGCCAAACCCCCTCCCCCCCAGTCCGCCCTTTGGTCTTCCTCCCTGCTCGGGATCGAATCCGCCTCACACGTTAAACTCTGTGTGACACGCAGCCAACTCGTAAGGACACATCGCTCTAGACCCTAGCGCCTTCAAGCCTGTGCAAGCCGCAGCTAACTCGTAAGGACACATGCCGGACAAGGTCGTTGGCGGTTTTTGTTGCTGTTGTTTTTTGTTTACTCCTGTAGGTGGAACCGGTTTTTTTCCTAGCCCCGGCTCGGGGATTAACGGGACTGGCTGGTTGGTCGGCTATTGGGCGTGATTTGGTGGTAGTTCAGAGTTGCTCGGGCTTAAAAGGGCTGCTAGTGGCTTTGGTTTGGTGGCAGTTCAGAGTTGCTTGGGACTGGTTCAGGGTGAGTGTTGGGCTTGCTGAGGTCTTAATGAGGCTGGGTCTTGGGTTTGTTTGGGATTCAAAGGGCTGATATCCAGGATGTGTCTGGGAGGGTTTGAGGTTGACTTTGGATCGGTTTTGGTTGGTTGGAGGTGATTTGCGTTAGGTGCGCGGCTCGTTTTTGCAGCAGCTTTTGGACTGCTTCAGGGCGTGGTTATGCAAGTTTTGGGCTGGTTTGGGATTGGTTGTGGGGCGTTGCCCCAAACCGCCAAACCTAGCCAAAAGTCGCGCAACCGCATCCCTAAAGCCACGGCTAAACCATTTCTAAACTAAGCAACACCGACCTAAAGTGAACCTTAAACCCTCCAACCACATCCTGACTGCTAGGTCTGAGAGGCCGGTAATGCTGGGGATGCGGCCAACCAACCCGCCAGCCCAGCCAACCTCTTTAGAGGCACATGGGGGAGGCCTTGTGATGAGCCGGAGCGAGTAAAAAGCCGGGGCTAGTAAAAGCACACCACCTCAACCCGGGGTGTGTTTTAGTCAAGCGCAGCACGCGAGCACCAGTGCTCCAAAGCACTTAGCTCACAAGGACACATCGCTCCAGACCCTAAACCTTCAAGCCTGTGCCTTGAGGATTGGTTCTTGACCTGTTCGCTTCTGAACCCCAAGCTTTTTGGGCCCAGACACCAAGGGGTCAAAAGGAAGCTGGTGATGCTGGCGATGCTGCTGGTTTGGGCGACGGCCATTCGTCAAGGGTGGTTTCAGCTAAACTTTCTTGGGCTGCTGGTGCTCAAATTGCGGCTCGAGGTGACGGCCGGCCGTGCGACAAATTGGCTAATTCGTTTGCGATCGTTTCAGCTAGGCAACGAGCATAGTCTTCCCAATTCGAGAGGGACTGAGCGGAATACTCACAATTTAAGGAGGCTTTGATTTGGTGACATCTAACCAGATTTGTCCCCATAACCTGCTCCTGTTTCACGTAATGATCTCTGAAGGGCCGTGTTTGGATGAAGGTGTTTGGATGAAGCTACCTTTTCGGTCCCCGTTTGCTCAAGTTAAAATACAAAATGCATACAATGCATGTGCAGAGACTTTGCATTCGCTATCCTCAGTTTGCATCTCAGGACAGCCTAAGCTTTGTTTTGCCCCGGGACTTGACAACTTCCGCAGTGGTTGCGGCTGCGCGGTCGCCGGTTTTGGAACCACAGCGAGCCCGGAGAGGATATGCTGAAGAGTGGCTTGGCTGCAAGAAAAGGCAGGCAGCCCCACAAAATATTCTGTCCGATTGACTCAAACAAACGCAAACCCAAAAGTTGTCCGGGCAAGTAGCATTATTTGCCGAGTACGTGATGAAGGAAACATGCAGCCCAAGACAACAAACAAATTGGTTGAGCTGGATTTTGCGGCCAACACGTTTTCGAGGGCAATCTCTTTAACAGATTGGTGTAGCACACGCAACTAATCGGAATCGCAATTGAGCTCAATTGTAATTGCGCTGAGCAGCCTTCTTTGGAAGCGGTACAAGTGGTGTATTGCTTGCGTGCAGGTCACCTTGATGGCATGGCATTGGGCAAGTTGTGGGGCCTAGCCTGTATTGTTTCAGTGACAGACAAAGTTCCTACAGGCCCATGCAAGGTTGCAGAAGCCAAGGCAAAAAGAAGCACCTTGACCCCTTCAGGAATTCTTCGTTCAATGCCATTCCAGCCTTGGTTGGAGCAGCTGCTCCGTGCTATTGGCCGTTCGCAGCTGTGTAGAGCATGAGCTGGCTGGTTTGGGGCAGTGGAAAGCATCTCAGCAGACTGGATTTCATGCTTTACGGGTGTTTCTCAAAATGGTGGACCCCCTTAGATTGGTATTGAAGAGCACAGAAAACGACCCCATCCTTTTAGGGCTCCCGAATTTTGTAGAAGTCCTCCTTGTTTGCCCCTAGAGCCCGCCTTTCACTTCAGGTCCGCGCGCGAAGGCGCCGTTCTGCTGGCTGTGGCCTTGATTGGGAGCCGAAGGAACGGCCGCCAGAGAGGCTCGGCAGAGAAATGGCAGGGTGGAAGGGTCCCCAAATCGGGGTGTCTTTGAAGAGCCTTAGAGCTTACGTAGATGATTGTTTGGAAGCCAGAGCTGCCAGTCAAACAGGGTGTGTCTTGTATTGACGGTACCTTTTGGTGGGTTGTGTTCAAGGGAAGCCAAAAGGAACCCACCCCGTTTGGGGAGGGGGCCCCCTTGTGGAGACACAACCAAAGCTTGCAAGAGGGCAGCAAGCAATTGCCTTGTTTCCAACAAGATAGTTCTGTGGATGGTCCACTTGCATGCACTGTAGCCTTCACTGATGCTGGAAATGCAGAGGTTGCGATGTTGTGAGGTGTCGCGTTTTCGGAAGCCATTGAGGTCAGAAACCCCCAGGCAGGTGACACATTGCGAAAGCCTATCAGCATCTTTCCAGGCTACTGAGCAGACTGGGGAGCTCCTGATAAGAGGCTCATAGGGACCCGCCACTATACCCGCCCTGTACCTGCAGCCCTTGTTCCCAACATCTTTATGGCTGCTGCTTGTTCCTTTGGATCAGGCCGACTTGGGCGAGTTGCCAGAGCTGCCGAGGACATACCATGGTTTTGATACTTACATGTCAATAAGAACCCAGGACTGATGAAGTACACCCCTGGTTGATTTGTCAGGGTGTGACCCATTTTAGAGGATCCTTCTCTTTTAGAGGAGACACTCCGAGACAAACCACCAAATTGGTTAATCTGGGGTCAACATCCTGGCAATTAAACATTATTTAAAGCTTTGAATGTTCACAGTGCGCACATCATCCTGCATGTTTATGGCCAATGTCACCTAAAATGAATGACGGTGACGCTATCATCACTGCAGACTCCGTACCCACCAATCCAAGCTGCTGACCATTTCACAAAGGGCTAGTCTGCAGAAAGCCCTACACACACACTCAGTGGAACGACGCTTCACTAGGTATGGGCGCTGGTCATTCTGTACCAAAGGTAGCTGCACCGATACGGATGGCAGCACTGTTTCATCCTGGCTTCCTCTGAAAATGAGCCCAAAATAGGGTTCAAGCAGTTTGGACACAGACCTGAAACATGAAGACTGTTGGACGTTGCAGGTGTCCAGCCACTGTTGACACATTCCCATTTGTTTGTGGGAAGCCTTTTTTGCGGTTTTTTAAGGGAAGCCAAAAGGAAGCCAAAAGAAAACAGGAAGCGAACCGTTCTGAGTGTTCGTGGCCTCTTTCTTGCAGGACGACGCGCCAGAGCTGCCGAAAGCCAAGCCGCCGCCGCCCGTAGTAAAGGCGAGGAAGGGCCGGTTTTGACGGGCGTGGGTATGGGGCGAGGGAGAGGATAGTGCGTTACGGACTGCGAGACGGGAGGAAATGCGCATCATGATTTGGTTTAAAGTTTAGAGTACGGGGTTCTCAAGGGTTACTCGCACCAATAACGCGAAGTCACCGCATTTTGTGTTGTTCCTGCGTCTCCATGATCTCTATGCAGGGAAGCTGGGGCAAGCTTGCATCCCTGTTAGGATTCACTTGCCGCATTTTGCCGCCGTGCAGTCTGTAATTGCTTCACGATTCTTCCCCAGATAGCCAGACAGCTGAAAGAGGGCTGGGTACTTGCAGAGGGATGAAAGTGGCAGCTGGTGATATTCGGGTGATTGCGGAGCTCTGACTTGGTTTCCTGCTGCCGCGTGTTCGATGCCTGTGTAAGATCAACCTGGACTGCAGAAGTGCAAGATATGGGGTATGTTAGCGAACTAATTCGCAGTTCTGAGCTATGACAGTTGAAACTTGTGTCCCCATGCAGTCATGCTGTTTGCATCAGAGTTTGAGCCCTGTTTTGGGATCATGTTTGACATATTGAGCTGTTGCGCTCTAATGGGTGGTGTGGTTTGCATAGATTTGCACTGACCTTCTGATTGCTGCTCGCTGTCTCACTTTCTGCGATTAGTGCTTGTCTATTCTTAGGAAACCGCCCGCTTGGAAGGCACCAGCCAAAGCAAAGCCGGCAAGTGCACCCACAGCCCCGCCACCAATGCCGGAAGCCAAGGCGCGGATGCTACGAATTTATTTTATGTGCTTGAGTGCCAAACGATGCAGCAGGGATGTTTCTGAGAAAATTGCAAGGCTATTTGCAAGAAGCAACTCTTGACTAGTCTTACGATGGGAGCCATGAAGGGGATGGTTCTGTTCGATTTGGGCAATTGCGCAGGTGTTGCTCTGACATGATGCATGAGGCGGCAGCTCCCCCACCAGCTGAAGCGAAGCCAAAGAGTGCTCCAGCAGCGGTTCCAAAGCCGGAAGCAAAGAAGGCAGAGTGCAGTTGAGTTCCCCTTCGTCCAGCACAAATCTAGTTGCTAGCCGAGTGTTGCTATGATGTTCTGACAAGTTTCCAGTGGTCGCTTGACCGAAGCATGACGTCTTGTGATGCGGTCTGCCAGAGCTGATGTAGCATGGCTAGAGAAGAGTGTTCATGTCTTAATGTTGACGAATAGCAAGCCTCTGGATTCAAACTGTGATGATGCCCCTCCATGTCCCTCCGTGTTCAGGCAAAGGGGGGTAGCGGGTAGTGGTTGCATATGGTTGCAGGAGGTTGCAGCTCCCCCTTCAGCTGAAGCGAAGCCAAAGAGTGCTCCAGCAGCGGTTCCAAAGCCGGAAGCAAAGAAGGCTGAGTGCAGTTGAGTACCGCTTGGTCTGATGAAAATCTAGTCGCTAGTCGAGTGTTGCAATAATGCCCGTGGTCGATTGACGCAAGCATGACGTCTTTTGATTCTGTTTGGTCTGCCAGCGTTGATGTAGCACCACCAGAAAAGAGTGTTGATGTCTTAGTGTTGACAGATAGCAAGCCTTTGGATTCATACTGTGATGATGCCACTCCACATCCCTCCATGTTCAGTGGAAGCGGGGGTAATGGTTCCATATGGATGCAGGAGGCGGCAGCTCCCCCCCAAGCTGAAGCGAAGCCAAAGAGTGCTCCCGCAGCGGTTCCAAAGCCCGAAGCAAAGAAGGCCGAGTACAGTTGAGTACCGCTTGGCCTGGTGGCAGTCTGTCGCTAGCCAAGTGTTGCAATATTGTTCTGGCAAGCTGTCAGTGGTTGCTTGCATGACGTCTTTTGATTCTTACAGAATTGACGCAGCATTGCCAGAAAACAATTTGGTCGTAATGTTGACGGATGTCAAGCCTCGCTGGACTAGGTGTCGGATGTTATTTGTGCAATCAAGAGTCTTGCAGCAGGCGGCAGCTACCCCTCAAGCTGAAACAAAGCCAAAGACTGCTCCAGCAGCGGTTCCAAAGCCAGAAGCAAAGAAGGCAGCGTGTTGAAGTGGATGCAATTGATGCTGTTGAGTACTGCTTGGTCCTGCGAATGTCCCAATGTATGGCATGTTGCCAAGTGCCACTTCCACAAGCAATCGCGCGGCCTCTGACAGAAGCACCATATGCGTTGGACTCTATCGGTGGAGAAGGGCAATGCTAAGTGGCAAGGTTTGTGCATAGGGTTTGAGCAGTCCCGGTTAAGCGACAATCACCGAAACCAACCTTTTTAGACGAACCCTGTAAAGCAGGTGGCTTTTGGATGTATCCTTGAAGCAAGCCTGTGCCGGGTCAAGAGAGTGATGTCTACGAAAGCTTTCCAGGAGGCACCTCCCGCTGAGAAGCCAAAGAGTGCTCCCGCGGCTCCAACGCCGGAAGCAAAGAAGGCAGCGTGTTGAAGTGGATGCAATTGATGCTGTTGAGTACTGCTTGGTCCTGCGAATGTCCCAATGTATGGCATGTTGCCAAGTGCCACTTCCACAAGCAATCGCGCGGCCTCTGACAGAAGCACCATAATATGCGTTGGACTCTATCGGTGGAGAAGGGCAATGCTAAGTGGCAAGGTTTGTGCATAGGGTTTGAGCAGTCCCGGTTAAGCGACAATCACCGAAACCAACCTTTTTAGACGAACCCTGTAAAGCAGGTGGCTTTTGGATGTATCCTTGAAGCAAGCCTGTGCTGGGTCAAGAGAGTGATGTCTACGAAAGCTTTCCAGGAGGCACCTCCCGCTGAGAAGCCAAAGAGTGCTCCCGCGGCTCCAACGCCGGAAGCAAAGAAGGCAGCGTGTTGAAGTGGATGCAATTGATGCTGTTGAGTACTGCTTGGTCCTGCGAATGTCCCAATGTATGGCACGTTGCCAAGTGCCACTTCCACAAGCAATCGCGCGGCCTCTGACAGAAGCACCATATGCGTTGGACTCTATCGGTGGAGAAGGGCAATGCTAAGTGGCAAGGTTTGTGCATAGGGTTTGAGCAGTCCCGGTTAAGCGACCATCACCGAAACCAACCTTTTTAGACGAACCCTGTAAAGCAGGTGGCTTTTGGATGTATCCTTGAAGCAAGGCTGTGCGGGTCAAGAGAGTGATGTCTACGAAAGCTTTCCAGGAGGCACCTCCCGCTGAGAAGCCAAAGAGTGCTCCCGCGGCTCCAACGCCGGAAGCAAAGAAGGCAGCGTGTTGAAGTGGATGCAATTGATGCTGTTGAGTACTGCTTGGTCCTGCGAATGTCCCAATGTATGGCATGTTGCCAAGTGCCACTTCCACAAGCAATCGCGCGGCCTCTGACAGAAGCACCATATGCGTTGGACTCTATCGGTGGAGAAGGGCAATGCTAAGTGGCAAGGTTTGTGCATAGGGTTTGAGCAGTCCCGGTTAAGCGACAATCACCGAAACCAACCTTTTTAGACGAACCCTGTAAAGCAGGTGGCTGTTGGATGTATCCTTGAAGCAAGGCTGTGCGGGTCAAGAGAGTGATGTCTACGAAAGCTTTCCAGGAGGCACCTCCCGCTGAGAAGCCAAAGAGTGCTCCCGCGGCTCCAACGCCGGAAGCAAAGAAGGCAGCGTGTTGAAGTGGATGCAATTGATGCTGTTGAGTACAGTTCAATAAACACAAGGCACCAACGAGGGGGTTCCTTTTGGGGGATGGCAAGGGTACTGGGTTTGTTTACTTCTGTTTTGCCCCAAACCTGTTTGTCTCTTTAGGGCAAACGCGTGTTTTCTTTGCAATAATCTTGAGCTCCAACTTAGCGTTCTGGTGAAGTTTTGGTTGTCTTCAAGATGTCAGGATGCCGAAACATTTATCATCCAAAAGAGTGCCCTCCAATGATTGCTTTCTCCGACGTCCAAAACCCCACCGTTGAGTGGAATATGTTGTAATGTTCCACGTGCGTTCATCGCAAAACTTGATGACAAAAGCTTTGGAGGCACCGCCACCCTCACCAGCTCCAACGTCACCGGCCCCAAAGCCGGAAGGAAAGGAGGCACGCTGATGGCTGATATTTGTTGGTTCGTATTTGTACGGTAAGCTCAGGATCAGGTTTAGGAGCATTCTGCGGTGCTTGGAGGAACCCCACCCGGCCTTGTTGTGGGAATGAGGATGCTAGAACATTCCCAGTTTACGTGCAGATTCGATTCGTTGCATCTTTGCACGGGTGCCTCAGGAGGAGCTTCGTGAGCAGCTTGAGAAGCCGCTGGGACCAGAAGAAAGGGCCCGCTTGTTTCGTGCATGTTCGAGGCAAATTTTTGGATTGCCAAGGCAGCAAACCGAGAATGCTGACATGAAAAAGAAACTGGAGGAGACGGAGGCCCTTCGGCGAGAAGAGGCCTCAGCTGGAGAGCGGCGAATTGGTATGTGATTCCCTTTATTTTGGGAATGTTTGGATTGGGTCACTCATCACACCCTTTCCTCATCCACGCCGGACAGTAGGAAAGAGGCATGGGGAAAGAGAGGGATGAGGGAGTGGTCATGCTTTCCCATGAAGAGATATCAAAAAAAGAAAGCCATTCATCACTTCACTCGCTAATCCATCACCGATAGACAATACTGTACCAGCACAATGACGGTGATGGATGATGGAAGCGAGTGAACCCTCAATCCCTAGTATGATCTATGAATAATTGGGATTGGGCCAGCATTAACCTACCATTGTCACAGTCTCATAAAGACAGGTGGGTGGGTGAATTCTGGATCTCTTGGTCTCTCCCACTCACCCTTTCTCATTTCTACGCTACAGATGGGTGAGTGTCTATGAGACAGAAAGAGAAGGGAAAGGGATTAGTGGCTTCTCAAAGTGAGCAAAGAAGCGCCCTTCCTTTTCACTGCGTTCCTCTTGGTCATATCATTGGGACGGATTGAAGGACTGATAGTGATGGATGATGAAGGGAACGGTCTCTTCGATCCCCATCCATCCCTTTCCTTTGTCTTCCTTGTTCACTAGCCAGGCTACCAAGGATAATCGAGTGAACCGCAGGAAGGGAAGGCAGCGTCTAGAAAAGTCCTCAAACAGCCGTAGGTGCGGACAAGGAACAAGAGTTGGGTTTCTTCCAACCGTTCCTTCCCTCACTCCATCTCCCGTCACCAAGTAGTTATTGACTAATAGACGGGAGATGGGAACCCCTGTCCACTCTTCGTTCACCAGCAGATCAACTATTATTAATTGGCTGGTGAGTGGACAGGTCACCCTCTTCCTTCCGTTACACCCTAAGGCAGAATGATATGATGGAGAAGTGAGTGAGAGGGATCCCTTGAAAGATCGCTCCTGCCGCAGAATCGAGGAAGCTGGAACGAATAATCTGACTTCTCTCTTCCCTACCTCCCCAAAATACCCATGAATAAACGGAGTTAGGGTCAGCTCTCTTACATCCCTTATCCTTCCTCTCATTTCCCGGCTGTACCTAGAGAGGCCAGAAGGGCCCATCCTCTCCTCATCTCCTTTCACTCAACTAATCTCAACAAATGAGAAGGATATGGTGAACAGTGAGAGAGAGAGAGAGTGTGAACGGTCAGACTATAAGCTTGGACAACAATGAAGTCTTAGAGCTTGGATCAGCTCGAACCGGTTTCCCGTCTCTTTGTTAAGATCCGTGTGTGGGAACGGGGTCTCTCTCTCTCACACAAACATCTCTCCTCTCTCCTCTCTGTCTCGCGCCCTTTGTTCGAGAGTAAACAGATTTTGGGAGAGAGACGACGAGAGAGACGACTGGAGATGTGAGGGCCCAGCCCATCTTTATACGTTGTATCCTAGAGTTTGGACTGGAGGGAAAATATTTGGGGGTTGATCAAAAGGTCCTTGCAAGGAGTTATGTATTCGGTGACCATTCGTTTTGGCTTAAATCCCTCCGCGAACGATCGGCGATGGAGTTCGCGAAAGAAACTTATTTTTTCGCGAAGATTCCGCGTTGAATTTTTGGAGGCCTGCCTGTGCACTTACATATTTGCAGACCCCGCTCCCTTGTAGAGAGGGAGATACGCAGCACCTACACTTGCATTATTGATTCCCTGCCTGTGTTGGGATTGGTGCAAATCAATAACGTTGGCTGGGCTATTTTGGAGCAAGTTTCGCGAAAGATCCGCGAAAGGCCAGGGAGCTTGTTGCAAGGTTCCGCACATCGCCGGCAACTGCAAGTGGCAAGGGCGAATGACGGTGACTGCCTGCACTTGACACTACGTACTGCACGCAAGTGAACTGCGGCTACCGTGTTTGCAAGCACAAATGCAGCAGCCACAATGGCTCCAGAGCGCACGCTGCAAACAAAAGGGCGTGGCGATGGAGTCGCGAAAGATTCGCGAAATAAACTTTTTTCTCGCGAAGATGGCGTTTTCCGGAAACAGGAATATTGATCAACTGCCATTTGTTGTAGCCTCGCACCCACAGATAGATATAGAGGCGAGGCTTACCCATTGTCTATTCTTGACATTAGTATGTGGTGAATATGTTCTCCATAGGGTCAGAACTCATGCACCTTGTTTGCGGTTGGGCTGGCGTTCCGGTATTAGTGCAGGTGGATTGGTGCATATGGGGGCCGTTCTAAATGGCATGTCATTGTGTAATACGGCATGTTCCTGAAGTCCTGAAGGGTCTACTGCGAAAGGAAGCCTGCGTCGCAAAAGGCAGGTGCGAAAGGTTGGAAAGACAAGGATGCGGCAAACAATGCTGCATAAATCGGCTTGTTCATCCTGTTTGTTTTCGCGAACGGCCTCGATCCGGCGACAGGCCTGCGGTTGAGTTAATTCCTGGCACCTTTGTGGTGAACAACCCCCGGTTGTCAGGTCAAATTCGTTGACTTGTTGAACTCCTTTGAAGGTGCTGCTGTCACCAAATCAGGTCCAAAATTCATCTTGGGGTGATGTGCATGAGTTAAAGGTATAGGGAGCTCCCCTTGGTTCCCTTTGAGCATGGATGAGCGCCCTATGTCCCTTGGTGAATGCAGCGAGCCATGTTCTGGAAGGCCCGGAAACAGATGGAGATGGAAGCGGCCAAGCGTGCTGCAGACACTTCGGCAAAAGTCCTGAGCCTGGGGAACTAACTGCTTTGCGCGTAAACCAATTTGAGAGATGTTGCTGATCGCTATTACTTGTGCTTGTGCTTGTGGTGGTGGTGCTTGCTGGTGCTGGTGGTGCTGGTGCTGGTGGTGCTGGTGGTGCTGGCGGTGCTGGTGTTGGTGGCGCCGGCGGTGCTGGTGGATGTGGTAGTTGTGGTGGGTGTGGTGGTTGTGGTTTCGGTGGCGGTTGGAATGGCGGTGGTGGGTGGCGGTGGTGGGTGGCGGTGGCGGCGGCGGCGGTGGCGGTGGTGCTGGTGGTGGTGGTGCTGGTGGTGGTGGTGCTGGTGGTGGTTTGTGCTGGTGGTGCTGCTGCTGCTGCTGGCTGCTGCTGCTGGTGGTGGTGGTGTGGTGGTGGTGGCGGTGGTGGTTTCGGCGGTGTCATGGGCGCGGTTGTTGTTTTGGTCGCTGGCCGGACTTCCTATCTATGCAGCGCCGGGCCAAGCTGAGCATGGTCCTTTGGGACATTGGTATCTTCGAGGATTACCAACACAACATGACCACGTTGAACAATGGAGCCAAGAGCAAAGTACGCTTCGCGAAGAGTAAAGCCTAGTAAAGTGGGAGTGGGAGCGACAGCACAGGCTGTATCCTGCTGGACTTAATTGCAAAGGCATTTCGACCATAAACCCTACAGCTTTCACCACCATGTCACAATGTGAAGCTTGCCGTGTTCTACGAGACATTTGAGGATGGCCTACCAGCGCTCTTGCTACCAAGGAGAGCGAAAAGAAGCAGTTCAGAAGAGCTGGCAGTTCAGAGGATGTTGAGAAGACACCCGGCTGTGAATTTTATTGATAGCATCCGCGGAAATGTTTGCGGGACACGATTTCGAATGTAAATGAAAATGATGTCCACCAAAGAATCCCCAGTAAAAAAGTCAGCCCCACTTGAGGCCACAATCGAAACCCGGGTAAGGGATATCAAAGCCAGTTATAGGCGCGGCCGCCCTGTTACTTCCAAATGGGTTTGGGTACCCTATGTTTGTACCAGGTTTTGATTCTGACTTGCTTGGCTTAACAGGGTTGCAGAGCTGCATGTAACGCTCCAGCTAATGTGCTTGCTAGACAAAGTAGATTCCCGATCCCTGAGAGACTGAGGAATCTTCCGTTTCCAACTCCAATGAAATAGCAGCATGTAATTTGGCAGAAAGTCCGGGAGGGATATCCAGGACTTAATGTCACGTGCCAAAGGTTTGTCAGATTGGTATGGGCTGGCGGGCCATTTCGTGATGTGCCCTGCTGAGGAGCCTCGCCGATGTCCAGGCTTTGAAGCAGGCAATGCCATTTCCCACAGGCATGCAGGAGGAGCGCGCGCATCACCTAGAGCCAAGTTGAAACCATGTGTTGGCGCCCAGCATGTAACCTGTTTGCCGGGCTGTTGGGATGCGGGGAACGAGACCGCCGGACAGCCAAGGGCGCAAGGTTAGCCAAGCAAGTGACAGAATGATGCCCAATTTATTGGATATGTGACTGCTAAACAAATCCAAAGTCTAATTTAAGTCGTTTTCCACTTGCTTCAAGCGACTTCCCCCCTTCCTTAAGTGTGTTTCTGTTTCTATTTGTTTAGCGCAAGCATTGGAAGTCCCATCCATATGACCTGTCGCGTGCAGGTCGGCGATTTCCAGGCCTTTCCGACAGCCCAACTCGGGGGGTGAACGAAACGTGGTCAGGACGCGGTGCAGCTTCGGGAGCTCAAAGAAAGCCTTCAGGCGTCTCAAGACAAGTGTGTCGGCCTCAGCCGTGAGTCGAAAGTCTGGGGCTTGCTGTGTTCTGTCCGAAGAGAACCAGGGCAGCCATTTCCCATTTCCAGTTGAGCTTGCATTGTTTGGGATGGAGGCAGAGAATGTGGGTGTGGCGACGCTTGGGAAGCTGCAAGCGTTTGGCGTGGTTGAGACGCGTCGAATGTGCGAATGTAGCGTAGGTCGGGAGAAGGAGAAGCAGATATTCCAACTGCAGGTGGAGAAGGAAAAGGCCGGGGTCCAGGTGAGGTACCTTGCAACTTGTAGTTCTTGGGCAAAATCCTGGGCAAGGAACCACAGCAAAAGTGGCTGGTGGACATGTTTCCCCACCTAAACGAAATGATGTCTATCAAAGGGTCCTTAATTGAAATTATTTCCCAGGCGAGGGGAGCTTGAATCTCTCCATGGACTGCCCCCAGTACCTGTTGCGAATCAGGGACTCTACAGCAGGAAATGCTCCCCCCTATTTGAAAAAATGAATGGATTCGCTCCATGGAGATTCTTCTTTTACACCACCCCATTATAGAAACCCAATTTTAGAAATGGATGGTCACCCTCCTGGAGGCATGGAAGTTCAGGTTCCTGGTCAATCAAACTTCATTGCAAAAGAACCGTCCTGCTCAAAAGCAGTGCTGTTCCTTTCCTGACCCTTCAAATACCAATCACAACGCGGCCGCCCAAAACAAGAGCCACACCCTGCGAGGAAAGGACTGCCTCTTGTAGTGAGCTTTTTTTCAGGTGTTCCCAAACACTGTTCTACTGTCGGGTTGTCCCTTTAAACCCACCCTAATTTTGAGTTTATCACTCGAAAGTAAACCCACAAAAGTCATCAGGTCCCACGCCATTCGCCCACAATGACGGGGATCCGATCCATTCGAGCCCCGCTCGATCGCCAGATGGAGAATTCCTTGAAGGCGGTGCAGGCGGAGTCCGAGGATAGCGCGAAGATGCGAGAGACCTTGAAGAAGTGCCTCGGCATAGCTTGAAGTAGTCCTTGATTGTTTGTTTGATTGTTTGTTTGCTTGCTTGCTTGCTTGCTTGCTTGCTTGTGTGTTTTGCTTCTGTATTGGTTTGTTTGTTTGTTTGTTTGTTTTATTTGTTTTGTTTGTTTGTTTGGTTGTTTGTTTGTTTGTTTGTTTGTTTGTTTGTGTGTTTGCTTGGTTGTTTGTTTTGTGTTTGTTTGTTTGGTTTGTTTGTTTGGTTTGATGTTTGTTTGTTTGTTTGTTTGTTTGTTTGGTTGTTTGGTTGGTTGTTTGTTTGTTTGTTTGTTTGTTTGGTGTGTGTGTGTGTGTGTTTGTGTTTGTTTGTTTGGTTGTTTGTTTGTTTGTTTGTTTGTTTGTTTTGTTTGTTTGTTTGTTTGTTTGTTTGTTTTCTTTGTTTGCCTGCTTGCTTGTTTGTTTTCTTTGTTTGTTTGTTTGTTTGGTTGGTTGGCTGGCTGGCTGGTTGGTTGGTTGTTGTTGTTTTTGTTTGTTTGTTTGTTTTCTTTGGTTTTGTTTGTTTGTTTGTTTTGTTTGTTTGTTTGTTGCTTGTTTCATCGGTTCATTGGTTTATTGCTTCATGAACGAGCATACATCGCATTATGATTATGCTGGATTTCACTAAAAACCCAACGATGTCCAAAGTTTGGTGGGTTGATGGTTTCATGGGTTCATGGGTTCACTGGTTGATGGGCAGATTGGATTGCAAGGGTGGGCAGAAGGGCGGTCCGCCGGTCAGACTTGGGAAGAACGCCGTTTGCTGAAAACAAGCCCCCCCGGGCTCTTCCGACAAGTAATTCGGACAAGTCCTGTTCTTGTAACTCCATGCAGTTCAGAATCTTGCTTTGCAGCGGATAAGACTGGACTCGGTTCGGTTGGGTGGTTCCCCCAGACGCCTTCTTCACACCAATTTCTGACTTGGATCATGTTAGTTGAAAGCTGTCGTGGTCGGAGCGATTGCTTGCAGTTGCTCGCGCATGCCCCATGGCTGATGCTGGAATTGGTTGCAGCGATCGGCCATGACCTGTTTCATGTTTGCCCGCGTTGCTGCATTCGAACCAAGGATTGCCGACGCTTGGCACAGTGGCATCAACCAGCTTGGCATGTCGCAGACACAGAAGTGTCTTCACTCGGCTGGGCCAAAGGCCCCGTTTCATGCCAGCATTTGTTCAGCCCAGCTGCAGCACTACGAAAGATCTCCCAAAAAGAAGCCCAAGGCAGGTCAAAGGCTGCCCCGTTCGGACCATCCCGAATAGACCAGTACTACTGGAGGGGCATAGCAATGTCCACGCTGCACGTGAAGTCCAACCATTCGAGCCCTGAATTAGGCTACCATGGAATCTCCCTTTCAATGACACACCCATGTAAAGACAAATTAAGTCGATCCCAGGAAATGAGCACAGCATTCCTGGAAGGCGGCGAGGACGGACCGGCGCACAGGGATTGATGCTATTTGCGCGAGAGCGATTGAACAAGGCGATCCACTGAGCTTGGATAGTCGTTTGAGGCGCCCACAGCGTCCGGTTACTTAATCTTGTTTGCTGACGCTCATGTTACAAGTATGCTCAGGATACCTTTGGGACTCTGAACATCACACATGTTTAACCATGTCTCTCGGGGCTTCGAGCAGCAATAGTGGTATGTGGCCCTTTCAGCGCTTGTGGCACTCCTGGCAGTGGAATGTCACAAGCGAACCTGCTCGGAGGCGGTTTGCAACTTCGGGACTAGGCCTAGCGGCTTGCCACTGTGGCGTTGTCATTTGGCCAGGGGTGTGCTATTGGTCTTGGATATGTTAAATGTCTAAGTTGACTGTTTGCCCGAGCACTCGCAGAGCGCTGGAGAGGACCGAGACAGCAGCGACCCTAGAAGGCAGGTTTCCACACAGGTGGTTTCAACGTCGCCAATTTTGGAAAGATTTGGATTGCAAGTATGCCAGCCCTGGTTGCAGAGAGGACCCCTCGGTGCTGCGTGACCAAGCGGACGAGTTCAAAGCCCGCGCTGCAGCTGCTGAGAGGGAGAAGGCGGCTGCGCTGGTGGCCCGTCCGCATTTTTGGACGCCAACTCTCTGCCCGGCAAGAGTTTGTGCTGGCTGGTTTGCAATCGCCACCCCCCACCCCACAGCTCGGACGGCGAAGTGCCGCTGCTCAGCGGACGGTTCACACAGTTTGTCCACCTGAAGCCAAGTTCGAAAGCTAAATTCAATCGAGCCGCGATGTTAATGCTGCGGAGGGTTAACAGACACCGATGGCTTTGGTTTTCCAGTGGTTCATTTGGGAGGGATCCTCATAAGTTTCCCATCGCACAGTTCTGTTTCTCACATGGAGATGTCAACTCGCATCGCGCAGGCAGGCACGTTTCAATCCGGCATGTGCCTTTTTTATAGCATCATCTCAAGTTTCATTTAGGCAGGCGTAGGGTTGGTTTATTCATTGTTGATCAGACATTTATTTGAGACATTCTGCTTGCTGTCGGTTTGTTCAAAAGGACCTGATCAATGCCCCGAAGTGCGCAGGAGCCTCGCACAACGCCTTTTGCAGGACTCCGTCTCTTCGCACTTGACAACTCTCCATTTGCCTGACCTCATGATTTTGCACTTCTGATTTGCAGAATCTATCCCTTAGTGGGGTCAAGAGCAACAACCGGGGCAACATATGTTTTCAGAGTTGTGTCGTTGTCGTTGTTTTGTTTTGTGTGTTAGCATGTTGTTTCGTGAGGCGGAGCTGGCTAGAGCCAGGGAGCAGCTAGAGGAGCTGTCCTCCTCCAAGGAGGCCTTGGCAGATGCCGAGACGCGCGCCCCTGGGATGCGACACACGACACATGTGTGTTGTCCGTTTTGGAGGGGCCGGGTTTTGCTTAAGGGAGGCCAAAAGGAAACCTATATCGTTTGGCAGCGCCTTCCCCCTGTTTTGAGACATGTGCTACTCTGGGCTCACCATTCGGCTACAAATTGGACGTGGCTGCCATTGAAGATGCCTATGGCTGTGCTCAGGTGAACGAGTTGTCCAAGAGCATTCGCGACATCGCCGAGCAGATTGGCACTCCGAAGCCTTGGCTGCGACTTTGAGACACGTTCCATGTACGGTCTTTTTGTGAGGGTGCCCTTTTCGAGCTTGTTTTCAAGGGAAGCCAAAGCGGCTAAGCGACACAAGCAAACATTGGCGGGCAGGATGGGGCAACAACCAAGGAAGGCAATGCAGTTATCATTGACGAGGGTCCCCACCCTATTGTGGACCGGCCGGTGGCCGGGGCACCAGCCGTTTACCTTCTAGTAAACTTCGGGTCAGTTTTCGTTTCCTCACTGGCAACCCATTGGAGTTTTTAGTTGCTCCCCAAGAGTGCATCCGTCCTCTGATGCAAAAGTGGCCAACCAAGACAGGCTTCGCTGCAAACGGATCGCCCTGATTGCCGCCCTCACTCCCATCCAATTTGGGGGGGGGGGTTCCCTTGCGGGTCCCTTCAAAAACGAACTAAGCGGGGATTCCCCGACAAGCACACCGGACACCGTGCAAGGAGGTGGTTTCATCACAAGGACTCAAAGGGCCCTTCGGTTTGGATTCCTCCCAAGACACAGGAAAGGTCCTGGTTTGCCGCTGCTGGGCTCATTCTTCAAGCCTTCGGAGGAGGAGCTCATTCGCAGCTCGGCTGCGCGAGCCGCCCCGCCTTTTCTGGACCGGAGTGCAAATCAAGGGGGCCAAGTTGAGCTTGTTTGTCGTTTCTGTGTTTTATGTTCTTTCTTTTGGAGCCTCATATTGTTTGAGCTCCAAGGAGACATCCAGGCAGAGATCAAGAAGCTGAAGTCCTGAGTGAGATGCGATCGATTCATGCATTGAATCAATTGTTTAGATACTTTTTATATATGGTACAGCTGAGACGGCTAGGCGCGCTGCCACAAAGACTGCAGCCGAAAAGAATGCGCACCATGCTACGTTTGCAGCACCCGGGTTGGAATCAAGCCAGTTGGAAGATGGGAAATATGTTCAACATGTTGAGTGCCTTTCGGGCTATTGTAAGGGACTTTCATTTGTCCATCTTGAACCGTTCCAATTGGAGCCAAGAGAAAGAGAGAGGGAGAGAGATTGCTCAGAGCTTAGATCTTGACTTGGGAATGACTCATGCAAGTCAGAGTTGCCTGTAAGTGACAATGTGCCCCTTTTGGGGTGGTTCAAAAGGGAACCCTTGAAAAGGAAGCCAGCCATTTCGGGGAATATTCAATAAAGTTGGCAACCGACGCAGTTCCTGTCAAACCATGTCCAAAGATGTGCTCGCGTGTGGCACAGGCCTCCTGGCATGCCTCCCATGCCACCGCATGGCATGCCTCCAGGCGAGGCTTACGTTTCCGACCAAGCTGCCCGTTGCCTGTGCCACATGAGCCATGATTTAGCCAATGTCAGGGGTGAAGGGCAACCTGATAGCCTGGACACTCACCGACTCTCGTGCTTTGCCATGGGATGGCGATGGGTTAGAGGTTTGGGGCCCAAGTTGGTGTCAGGGGTCCTTTAAGCATGATAAGGCGAACGAAAGTCTTTCTTCCCTGCTTGCAACACGTGTGGCTGAAGGCCGCAAAGACTTGGCCAAACCGTGGGATTCTCGCCAGGTCACGGCCACATGCCGCCCTTTCCACCGTGGCCGTGGCATGTTCTTATGATATCAGAGAGTCTTGGAATGTGACTTGGCAAATGCCGAAATGGGCGGTTCGCAGAACTGGAACATGTTTGAGATTTCAGCGGCAAGGGTAAACCACCGCCTCCTTCAACGTGTGCTTTGCCCGCAGCTTCTGCTCGCTTTGGACAGGAACGGAGTGCCCCCGCATGGTATGCCGCATGCACCACCAGAGCCCCGCACCTAGCGCTAAAAGAGATGATCAAAAGGGTATGAGTTTCTTCCATTTTGCCTTCAGGGCGATGCAATGGCTCCTGAAAGATGCTTGGAGGTTTCCCTTGAGGTATTCTCGGGTTGCACATTTGCTCTGTGGGCGTCCCTTGCTCGTTCCGAAGGGCTCTTGCCTTTAGAGTGCTTCCATAGTGACAGGCTCTTCAGATCGCACTCGCAAGGCCTGGACACTCTGAAAAAAAGAAAGGCGCGTGGAGCCAGAGTGCAATGCCATGTAGATGCGGGCCAAATTGAGGCTACTGAATATTTGGACTAGCAGGTCAGTTGAGGCCAAACTCCCCGGAACAGGATGTTTCGTTTTTGTGGGACTTGGCCTGTGGCTAGGATGGTGAGGGTTCGAGTCATTTCGGCTTATGGCAGATTGCAGATGCAAGTGATGCAAGCTTGCAGGCAAAAAGAAGGACCGCTCCAAGTCGAGTGGGTCTTCTAGCCCTCAGAAAGGCCGGCTCTGATGGCTCATGGTATTGGCTATTAGAGGGGCGCCTGGAACACGGAACCCTGGCATTTATCCACAGGGCAGCTGCGTTTCACTGATTATATTGCTGCTTGTAGTGCCGGGGAAAGACGTGTAATTATGCGGTTTTGGACATGACTGTGTCGCTAGTGATCCTTAGAGAGCTTTCAGTGCGCGGGTCGAGTCCGCTTTCGGCTGATGGCAGGAAAGAAGCGGAAGAAAGAGAAAGCACACGAGTCCTCGATGGGATTTCCTCCCATGCCGCACCATCCTGGCCACATGCCTCCTCCGGAGCGACGCTATGAGATACCGTCAGCTATGGTCAAGACCTGGTTCTATGTGCCCTGGTCGAGAGCACCTTTTTCCTTGGGGTTGGCAGGGATGGTGATGGACCCTGAGGACGCAATTTAGACCATGATGAGGATCCCTATTAAGGGAACCATGACCGTATGCCACATGGAGTCTTGCGAAGAGACCGAAGATATGCGAAGACCACAAGATTGCTGATAAACCCTCGAGTAAGATCTTCTAAACAACCATTATAATATTTGTTGTCATCGCAAGCAGTCTTGATTACAAGCAACTCAAGGCGAGTTGCCGAATGGCCGTGTATTTGTTTTTTCCTGCACAATGTGAATGAATATTGACCATGGCTCAAGTCCGGAAATGTGGTCTCGCAGGAGTTCATGCCTCCTCCGGAGCACTTCATGCCAGCAACCAGCTCAGCTTTGCCTGAGAATTGGCCTGTGCACATTAGCCTTGGCATGCGTCACTCATACTTCCGCTGTTCGTCAGGGTTTCCCTGGGCCCATGTCCGATGAGCCCATTGATGCTTGGCGGCAGTTGGCAGACAATCAACCTCTCTTGATCAACATAATGTGGCTTGCTTGCGCAGCTTCCATCTAGGTCGGTGTCCTTTGGGCGTTTTAGTGGCACTGAGACGGGCTTGCGCTTCAGAGCCAGGATTGGGACGACCTCTAGCTGAAGTTCCAGGATGCTGCCCTGAGTCCTCTCAACTCGGATGCGGCTGGCCGCAGGCCAAGCCAGGCATGAAGATAGGTGAGCGCTGTCAACGCACGCACATCATGATGCAATAGATGTACACGGAGAGAGAGAGACAGATACATAGACATACTATGCTATGCGCAAATGTAACATGCCACTGCTTGCCAGTGGAAAGATGAGTTGCTAGTTGCGTGCCTATGCTTTGCATCTCACCTGTGTAAAGCAGCTATTTGGCGGCTTAGCAAGATGAAGGACTCGGGCAAAAGGCTCTTCCAGCCTGTCCGAGCTTGGAAGTTGCTTATGAACAGTGCACGGCTGAAAGCTCGTGCCAATGATTCCAACGCCCTTCTCTGGGAGTCAAAGAGCAATGCAGCCATGCCTTGCTTTTGCGCAATGCTGACCTCCCCCCAATCGCAAATCATAGGTCCTATTCGTAGCAAAGAACCACCTGCTGAGTTGACATCATCGGATCTTATGGGTGCCAGATCGCCCGAGAAACCACGTCTTGATGGACAAACTTCTGCACGGTCAATCTCTACAACAAATCAGGCTGACACGCACACACACACAAACACAAACACAAACACAAACACAACACAAACACAAACACAAACACAAGCACAAACACAAACACACGCACGCACACACACACACACACACACCCACACCCACACCCACACCCACACACACACACACCTACACACACACCTACACACCTACACACACACACACGACATTGAGTACGTTATATGAGGGCCATCCTAAAACCCCAGTCTTCGGTTTTAATTCACGCTGAACGGGGAGAAGCAAACGTTGTCAAAAGCTGTGCGCGCGCAAGGAGCGCGCAAGTGCGGCCCAAGGGACGCGCAAGGTTACAGTTTTGAAGGGTTTCATGTACTGATGTTGCCCAGCGTCATGAAAGGAAGTGATATCTTCTTGCTGTACTTGTGCTTTTCGAATGTTGCTTGGGTCACGTGTAGGTCACAAGCTTGTTTGCAAAGGTGCGGCTTTTTCTTCTGTCAGACGCCAAACGAAGCCAAAGCTTCTGCGCGGTCATGACTTCAACAATCAGCAACTGACACGACAAAATCCGCGCAAGCCGCGCACAAGTTGCGCGCAAGCACGAGAAGCCCCAGCAAGACATCACATCTAGCCACGCTGTCTCGGATCTCCTTAGCGGCGCGGTTCAAGTAATGGATAGGTAGCCGCGACACGCACTTCCTTCTTCCAGGCTGTGTCCAAGCTGTGTGGCAGAGCCTGCTGTCCTTGCTGTCGGGTCAAGAGTATGTTGCGACCTCAGCGGGAAGAATCTCTGTGGGTTGCTGTGTGAACGACAAACACACTGCTCAGAAAAGCTTGCGCGCAATCCACACGAAAACTCCGCACACCGAGGTCAACGAAAAAGAGTTTCTGCGCCACTGTGCGCGCGCAAGTCCGCGCAAGTGCCGCACAAGTGCGGCCCAAGGGCCCAATCCCGGGCAAAGGAATATAGGACAACCCCCATATATATATAATATCATTTTGGCCTTTGCAAGTTGGTAGAGTTTATCTATGCCACGCTTGGCGTAGACCCATTGCCCTTGCGACCTGCGTGGCTGTTGCATATCAGCCTCGTCCAAGCCCATTGGCCATTGGCCCCCGGCCTCAAGGCGTGGGACGGGGCTGATTTGTGAGGTGGCACTGTCGGATCTTCTTAGAGTGGACGGCGCTGGTCCCGAAAGACCTTCACTTTCGTTTCGTGCGGCTTCCCAACAAGTATGGCCTCGAACGCAGTAATAAGACTCCTTCATCAACATAATACGGATATCTGTGGATGCAACAATGAATAACAATGACGCATGACACCATGACCATTCCCAGTCTTTTGACCATGGCTGCTTCCTGGTGGTTTGCGCAGCACTGGGAGCTGGGATCTAAATCACTAGAGCCATCATGTTGATTCCGGCCCGCAAGAAGAAAAGGCAACGGGGATTGATGGAAATGACCTCTAGAAAGACGTGACCAGCCACCTCAACGGATATGTAAGAGACAACCATATATTTGTTGCGTCGCAGGCTGCGCTGCGCGCCATGGCGACAGCAGGGTGCTCGGAGTCCTTTGGGAGATTTTCGTGGGGCAGAGGCAACAACTTGCGTTTTGAAGCATCTTCCTGGGTTGACCCCCCCCCGAAATCATCTTCGAATGCTCGTACTTTCGCAAAATCCCTTGGCTCACGTATGGGCAGACCGGGAGACCCAACTTCAACATGAGAGCAGCAAGGGTAACCCACAATTGCCAGGGTGATACCTAGAACCGTTAGTTGGGCCTTCGAGCTGGCGTATCAGAGCTTCATGGTCTGAGAAGTCTACGGAAATTATTGAGGCTCTACTCTCACCTGTGAAAGTCGCTGCGTTTGGTTTTGGCAGCATGTTTTTCGTGTAATACGCACACGAAACGCATCCGGTAGGGTCTTTG